CCTGGACCTGGGCCTGGGCGGGGCCGGCCTGGCCCGCCTAGCTGGAGTGAAGTGAAGCCCAGTCCGTCCGTGCCACGCCCGGCAACGCGCCCGGCTGGGGGCTCGGGTGTTTCTTTATTAATCGTGCGAAACGGGGAAGCAACTGTGGCCCGAGTCCCGCGAGCCCAGGTGTGCACCGTCCAGTCCAGGCCGGGTCGGGGTCGGGTGGGCACCCGGTCGGGGTCCAGGTCAGGCAGCGCTGGAGCCTCCTAGACGCGTCCAGGCCGGCGGGAGTCGTGCTTGGCCAGGCTGGTCATCGCTCGGCTCTGGCTCTGTCCGCCCTCGGCCTGCAGGTGCTCTCGCCTGGGAAACTGAGGCAGGCACGGCCACTGTGCCGCAGTCTCGGGGTTCACCGTCTACTTCTCCAAAAGCGTCTGCTGAACTGTGGGGAGCAGAGAGCAGGCAGTGAGGCGCCGGCCCGCACGTACCCCGGGCAGCTGGAGCCCGCCGGCCGGAGGCAGAATCCGCAGCCAGGTGGGCACAGCCAGTGACCCGGCCGGGCGAGCCTCGGCGCCCACGGGAAGCTGCGGACATAAAGCAGTCAACAAACTCAGAAGGAGGCACCCTGCCAGCGAGCGCTCAGGTCCACCACGGCCCGGCTCCTGCAGGGGGCTGGACGGGAGCCGCAGCATTCCGGGGCCACAGCTGTGCCCGCTGTCTGCGGGGTGGGTGGAGCCGGCCAGCCACTCGGGCCGCACTACAAAACCCTGATGAGAAAGTCTAGGGCAGCCGTGTCTTGGCAATCGAGCGCAGAAGCCAGAAAACACCATTTTTGCCTTGTTGGCAATGCGCCCCGGCTACTGCACGGCGTCTCGGGAGCAGGCCTTGGATCACAAGACCCAGGCATGAGAAAACCCCCAAGAGCTCGACAGAAGGGTCCCGCACCCCGAAATCCAGAGACACAGGGCTCTGGCGGGAATCGGGGTGTGGCGAGCTCGGCTGGCGCCTGAGTGACACTCCAGGGCACGGAGGCAATCGGCGCGTGGCGGGGAGGGGAGAAGCAGGGAAACGGAGGCAGGAAGGAACCAGGACGGAAAGGGCAGGCTGGGGACTCAGGATGGGACAGCGCTCACCTGGGACACACCCAGCCCAGGCGCGGGCTTCCCAAAAACTGTCTTTTTACAGCTAAATTATTTCAATTTTTCAGTCAACAAACACAGGACATCTGCCCCCGACCTTCACCTGAACAGGAGCAGAGACCAAGGCACAGGACCCACGGTCTGGGCGCCCACCCCAGGGCCTTTGCTCGGCTCTGTTCCCTTTTCCTTTCCTGGGCAATCCCAACAAATCCCGCCTGCAGGGCGAGGTGTCGGCAAAGCCCGCCAGCTGCATTTCCCAACGTGCACCTTTTAAAATGCTCAGTTGGGCCAGCCGGGTGGGGGCGCTGGGGAAAGTTTCATCAGTATGCTGCAGCTCTGGGCGGCTCCCCACCACTGAAGCCAAACCTGCCGTGCACGCCTGGCCTGTCATCCCAGCGCGCTGGGAGGCTGAGGCAGGAGGCTCCCTGGGAATTCAAGCCCAGCCGAAGTAACTCAGGGACTCGGGGGCCCGTTTCCAAGACAATGCACACATAAGTAAGTAAAATTAACAGGCCTGGGGACGCGGCTCAACGCAGGGGCCCGGGAGGGGTCAAGCACTAGCACCTATAACAGTAATGATAATCAACAACAGCGGCTCCCTGCACCCTGCACTGCTCACCGGGGGCTCCCAGCACCCCGCCCTGCTCACCGGGAGGCTCCCAGCACCCCGCCCTGCTTACTGGGGGGCTCCCAGCACCCCGCCCTGCTCACCGGGAGGCTCCGTGCGGCTCGGCGGGCCATTTTCCAAGTTCACTTCTCCTTGTTCTGCTGCAAACAAAAAAAAAGACCCAGATGCAAACAAAAGCCATCGCTGGAGCCCCGCGCCCTCCCGTGGGTCCCGACACCACGCAGAGGTCACTGCAGCCAGAGGCCTCGGGGGCCTTCAGGGAAACAAGCGCCCCTTCCCAGCCAGCCGCACCCCGCCAGGAAAACGCACCCTGAGTCTCGGGCACCTGGAACCACATTCCTTCCCGGGAGGCAGGAGGAGAAAGGTGGCACGCTGCAGCCCAGGTGGGCCTGGAAGGCGGGCGATCCTCCACCTCAGCCCCAGATGACGGAACCTGAGGCGGCTCCGGCCCAGCTCCTCCTGTTCCCGCAGGCTCGGCCTCCCCACGAGCACCAGAGCGCGCACTTTGGAATCGGAGACAATACTGACTCCCAGCACCTTGCTGTGCATAGGAGAGGCGATGCCCAGCCACAGGTTACCCCGCAGGTACAGCCCAGGATGACGGCCAGCTCCTCCTGCATTTCCCCGCCGTCTACCACACAGACGGTGCTAAAGCTTTACACATTTGGGTCAGACAGGCCACCACGCAAACACTGTTATTCCATCCGTGACGGGAGGTTTATAAATGTCACCTTAAACCTGGCTCCTCCCTTCTCTCTCTGCTTCCCGGCCACCATGACGGGAGCGTCTCTCCTCCCCACACCGTCCACCATGATGCTCCCGCCCTGGAGCAGCCGGCCATGGACTGCACCCTCTGCACCCCTGAGCCACACTGAGCTCCCTCTTTAAGCTGTGTTCTGGTCCCCGGCTCCTCCCTTCTCTCCCTGCTTCCCGGCCACCATGATGGGAGCGTCTCTCCCCACACGGTCCACCATGATGCTCCCGCCCTGGAGCACTGACCATGGACTGCACCCTCTGCACCCCTGAGCCACACTGAGCTCCCTCTTTAAGCTGTGCTCTGGTCCCCGGCTCCTCCCTTCTCTCCCTGCTTCCCGGCCACCATGATGGGAGCGTCTCTCCTCCCCACACCGTCCACCATGATGCTCCCGCCTTGGAGCAGCCGGCCATGGACTGCACCCTCTGCACCCCTGAGCCACACTGAGCTCCCTCTTTAAGCTGTGCTCTGGTCCCCGGCTCCTCCCTTCTCTCCCTGCTTCCCGGCCACCATGATGGAGCGTCTCTCCTCCCCACACCGTCCACCATGATGCTCCCGCCCTGGAGCAGCCGGCCATGGACTGCACCCTCTGCACCCCTGAGCCACACTGAGCTCCCTCTTTAAGCTGTGCTCTGGTCCCCGGCTCCTCCCTTCTCTCCCTGCTTCCCGGCCACCATGATGGGAGCGTCTCTCCTCCCCACACCGTCCACCATGATGCTCCCGCCTTGGAGCGGCCGGCCATGGACTGCACCCTCTGCACCCCTGAGCCACACTGAGCTCCCTCTTTAAGCTGTGCTCTGGTCCCCGGCTCCTCCCTTCTCTCCCTGCTTCCCGGCCACCATGATGGAGCGTCTCTCCTCCCCACACCGTCCACCATGATGCTCCCGCCTTGGAGCAGCCGGCCATGGACTGCACCGTGTGCACCCCTGAGCCACACTGAGCTCCCTCTTTAAGCTGTGTTCTGGTCCCCGGCTCCTCCCTTCTCTCCCTGCTTCCCGGCCACCATGATGTGAGCGACCCTCCTCCCCACACCGTCCACCATGATGCTCCCGCCTTGGAGCAGCCGGCCATGGACTGCACCCTCTGCACCCCTGAGTCACACTGAGCTTCCTCTTTAAGCTGTGTTCTAGTCCCCTGATCCTCCCTTTTCTCTCTGCTTCCCGGCCACCATGATGGGAGCGTCTCTCCTCCCCACACCGTCCACCATGATGCTCCTGCCTTGGAGCAGCCGGCCATGGACTGCACCCCCTGCACCCCTGAGCCACACTGAGCTCCCTCTTTAAGCTGTGCTCTGGTCCCCGGCTCCTCCCTTCTCTCCCTGCTTCCCGGCCACCATGATGTGAGCGACCCTCCTCCCCACACCGTCCACCATGATGCTCCCGCCTTGGAGCAGCCGGCCATGGACTGCACCCTCTGCACCCCTGAGCCACACTGAGCTCCCTCTTTAAGCTGTGCTCTGGTCCCCGGCTCCTCCCTTCTCTCCCTGCTTCCCGGCCACCATGACGGGAGCGTCTCTCCTCCCCACACCGTCCACCATGATGCTCCAGCCTTGGAGCGGCCGGCCATGGACTGCACCCTCTGCACCCCTGAGCACACACCCCAGAACACTTTAAGCTGTGTTCTGGTCCCTGGCTCCTCCCTTCTCTCCCTGCTTACCGGCCACCATGACGGGAGCGTCTCTCCTCCCCACACCGTCCACCATGATGTTCCCGCCCTGGAGCAGCCGGCCATGGACTGCACCCTCTGCACCCCTGAGCCACACTGAGCTCCCTCTTTAAGCTGTGTTCTGGTCCCCGGCTCCTCCCTTCTCTCCCTGCTTCCCGGCCACCATGATGGGAGCGTCTCTCCCCACACGGTCCACCATGATGCTCCCGCCCTGGAGCACTGACCATGGACTGCACCCTCTGCACCCCTGAGCCACACTGAGCTCCCTCTTTAAGCTGTGCTCTGGTCCCCGGCTCCTCCCTTCTCTCCCTGCTTCCCGGCCACCATGATGGAGCGTCTCTCCTCCCCACACCGTCCACCATGATGCTCCCGCCTTGGAGCAGCCGGCCATGGACAGCACCCTCTGCACCCCTGAGCCACACTGAGCTCCCTCTTTAAGCTGTGTTCTGGTCCCCGGCTCCTCCCTTCTCTCCCTGCTTCCCGGCCACCATGATGGGAGCGTCTCTCCTCCCCACACCGTCCACCATGATCTTCTGCCTTGGAGCAGCCGGCCATGGACTGCACCCTCTGCACCCCTGAGCCACACTGAGCTCCCTCTTTAAGCTGTGTTCTGGTCCCCGGCTCCTCCCTTCTCTCCCTGCTTCCCGGCCACCATGACGGGAGCGTCTCTCCTCCCCACACCGTCCACCTTGATGCTCCTCCCTTGGAGCCGCCAGCCATGGACTGCACCCTCTGCACCCCATTAACCCTCCTCCTCTGTGATGTGCGAGTGGTCAACCCCGAATGTCCTCATCCACCCCTCTTCCTATCCACAGTGTTCACCAGCACAGCACACTTCCAGGAAAGATACGTTTATTTCTCTTCTACAAGGCTGCAAACGACCTCGAGGGCCGCACACTGTCGGTGGCAAAGGAAAGTCCTGCTCCTCCCCTCAGCGAGTGGCAGTGTTTCCAGAGCTGCAGGGTCGGGCTCAGTGTACACGGGCGGGACGCGCGCAAGGTGCAGAGCATAAAGGTCTAACTAAGGGGCAGAAGCGCAGCTCTGTAGTGAGTGTCGGATAAAGTGCACGGTCGGCAACGCCCTCCCCACCAGCGAGTGACACGGCACAGGGCGACACGGGCTGGGCGGGCAGGAGGGGGACAGAGGGACAGAGGGACAGAGGGACAGAGAGACAGAGAGAGATAGAGCATCTGGACAGGCAGGCCACGGGTAGACAGGAAGGATGGATGGACGGGTGGATGGATGGGTGGATGGACAGATAGACACAGATTTACCGGTAGCTGGACAGCTAGATGCATTATGGAGTTGGGTAAATGCATGCATAGACCACAGGCAGAGAATACTGATGGATTATACACAGTCGTGGCTGCTCAGAGAGACAGACTGACTGGTTATGCAGATAGATACCTGGACGGAAGGACAGACAGGAAGGATGTGAGGTGATGGACAGATTTATAGGTAGGTGGCTGGATGCACAGAATGATTACGGAGCCAGGTAGTCAGAGAGATACAGTTAGGAAGGACAGACAGACAGCTGATAGACTGATCGGTTACACAGATAGGTGGATGGATGGACAGAAGGATGGACAGATAGATGAGAGAGGGATGGATAGTAGATAGATAGATAGATAGATAGATAGATAGATAAAAAGAAATCCTCCTGCAGGGCCAAGTCCAAACAGGCAGTGAGCCCTCAGGCCGGGCAGAGGCTGCCAGCCAACGCGGGGCACGCGTTACAGCGCATGATCTGACGGGCGCTTTGGCTTCCCGAGAGGGCTTCTCCCCACCGAAAGAAAAAGTAAAAACAACAGAATGTATCCCCCGAGGGCCTGAGCCAGGTTGCCGAGGTGAGACACCCGCAAGGTCCCCAGACCAGCAAGTGTGCGGTCAGCACAGGCACCGTCGGGGCGCCGGTTCCCCCCGGGGGGCCTGGAGCGAACGGATTCCACGCGGGCCCAGGCACCCCGCAGGCCGGCCGTGGACGCTCGGTGTGCCCTGCATGTCTGTGCAGCCCGGCGCCGGCAGGCTGAGGCGGGAGGTCGCTGTGAGCGCCCGAGCAGCCCCGCGTGAGCTGCAGCCGGCCCGAGCTGCACAGCGAGACCCCATTGCAAAAAGGCAAAATTAAAGCCCGACTGGCCCTGCTGCTGGCCGGCGGAGGGCGCAATGCTGGCCCAGCCTGCAATGTCGGGGTCACACGTGGGTGCAGCCGGCCTGGCAAGGAGGACGCTCAGGTCCAAAGCGCGGGACCCCGCCACCCGCTCACCGGCACAGAGCCTCGCGGACTTGGAGGGCCCCCAGAAAGCGCCATCCCCGCGGTCTGGGTCGGCAGCCTGGCACCCCTTACAGAACCAGGTGGGGGAGAGGAGGGCAGAGACAGAGGCCGCCCTGCGGGGCGCCCGGTGGTCAGGGAGTCCTAAGAATCCAGGGTGAGAAAGACGGGGTTCGCAGCCCCCGGGGTGCACAGCCCGCTCCCCAAGACCAATGACCACCCCGAGGGCTGATGCTTGCTCCAACCTCCGCGTGGACAGGTCAAGACATATTAGGGGTGGTGCATGGCCCCAGCCCCCCAGCGACCTCAGGAGGCCGAGGCAGGACACCCCGAGGTTCCAGGCAGCTCAGGCCACTCAGGCCATCAGCAAACCCGTCTCGGCGCAGACCCAAATGGGGGGAGGGATCGTGACTCGGGGCCTTCTGCAGAGGAGGGAGGGGGACGGGGGGGAGGCAGCACACAGGGGGGCAGCGGGGCGCTCAGGGCCGGGGCGGCCGCTCCTCGGGCCGGGCTGGGCTTAGCGGGGAGCCGCGCTGTCCAGGCTCCTGGGGCGGGCCAGGCTCCGCGGGCCTAGGTCTCCGAGGCATCTGGAGGGGGGGACAGAGGACAGAGAGTGAACGGGCCGGCTCGGGGTCGGGGGCGGGGGCCAAGCGGGTCCCGGGGTGCAGCGCCCGGGGCAGCAGCCAACAGCCTTGAGCTGGGCATGCACAGCGGGCCAGGAAGGCGCCGACACGGTCCCCAAAGCAGGAACAGGCCGGCAAGCGCCCGAGAGCCCAGCGCTCGGGAGGCTGAGGCAGGAGCGTCTCTGCAAGTGTGAGAGCAGGCTGCAAAGTGAGCTCAAAGCCAGCCTGGGCTGCAGCGCGGGAGGGTGTCTCAAACATAAAACCAAACAAACAGAAACCAGGCAGCAGGCCAAGAGATCGGGACAAAAGCCACAGGAAATACTGGGGCAAAACGTCGGCTCCCGCCCAGCACCCCGCACTCCGAGCCTGCACTGTGCACAGCGCCCGGCCAGCACAGCGGTGTCCACCCGGGCACGCAGGTGGGAAGCTGCTCCGGCCTTTTCTCCAACGCCAGCTCCTAATTTCTGGTGAATCCAACCCTGCTCGGACTCCTGGCGCTTTGACCAGAATGTGTGTCTTGTACATATAGAATAGCACCCCAAACTGCTCAGGGCTCGGAAAGCCCAGGCACGAGGGGAGGGGAGGGAAGGGAAGGGGAGACCCCAAAATCGAGCTCAAGTTAATGCAAGACTTTTAGAGCCTCACAAGGCCTCGCCGGTCACCGCAGCATCCTGCAGGCTGAGGCGGGAGAATCTCTGTGAGTTCGAGGCCAGCTTGGGCCGTGTGCTGAGGTCAAAGCCAGCCTGGACCACAGACAGGCCCTACCTCCAGCCAAACCGCACCACACTCTGCAAACAGTGGCCCCCAAGAAAGGTGGCAGACACAAAGAAGGATCAAGACACATCTGAAGGTACCAGCGCAGAGGTGCCCGCCCGGGGCCAGCACCGGCACAGGCAGAACAGGACAGAGCAGCCGGGCCTGCCGACTCTGGGCTGATCCCTGCACGAGCCGGGAACCGGAACGGGGCCTGGATGCTGGACAGAGCCACGGTTATGAATCTGTCACTCTGAATCCTCACCTACATTTTACAACCTGCACAGAAACCGCACGCTACCAGCCAGGACGGGACCCCACATCCCTGGCTTCACCGTGCTGCTCTGGGGTGCAGGAAGCCACCAGCAGCCTCCCGCCTACCCGGCTGTGCCAACAGGGAGGACTCCGAGGGGCCCGTTTCCCACACGGCCTCTCCGCCAGCCAGCCTCACACACACCGCCCCGGGAGCTGGTCAAAAGGCGTGGTGTGTGTTTAACTCAAAAATCCCTACACTAAAAACACACAAAGGCACAGAGCCCTCAGAGTCCCCCGGCCCTGCTGGCTCCCCCAGATCCTGGCCGCTCTCCCTGCAACCCCGGAATCCTCTGTCCTCAGGATCTTTAGCAGTGAAATCCTGGCTGCCTCCATGTCCTGAGTGGACCCCAAACCCTGACCTTTCTTGGTCACTGTGAGCTTGGGGAGGACCCGGGAGTCGCACGGGGCCAGCTCCGGGGACCGAGGTGGACGGGGCCCGGGTCCTGTGTTTACAGCTGCCTTTCTGCTAGATGGCGCTCGGCAGCGGCCGTCACCGGGTTTCTGATCCCAGCTGGAGCAGCCCCTGAGAACCAAGGAACCCCGAGCTCCTGTAGAGAGCAGCAAGCACACTGAGAGGAGAGTGTGCAGCGAGGGAGAATTTGGGGGTGCTCAGGTCGATGCACCCCGTACTCTAACTATAAACACAGGCATCTCCATATCCAGCAGCACTCTGGTCCCCCCTCGACGGGGAAGCTCGGCAGTGGCGACGGCTCGCGGTTAAACACGGCGAAGCAGCTCGGCGGAAGCCGCACGGTGAGCACGCGGGTGTCAGTGAGCACGCGGGTGTCAGGGAGCCCGCGTGGGGCTCAGCACAGGCGCAGCCGCGTAAGGTCTGCTGGGGGAAGCCGGTGTCCCCGGCCATGCGGGAAGTGGAGCGCGGGACCCCGCTTACGGTTCTCTTTGAAGCACAGCTTCTTCTTCTGGTAGGCGATGAAGCTGGACACGGCTCCGGCCACGGCCACCACCACGGCGCCCACGATGCCCGGAATCACGCCCTGGGGCTGCTCCGCTGCAGGGGAAATCAGGGCAGGTCAGGACCGGGGAGCAGCCCTGGCGCTCCGCGAGGACTCGATGGGGACCCCGGGGCTGCCCAGTTGTAGCCCCAACATGGAGTCTGCACCCCTAAATCCCGCGCCCCAGTGCCAGGCTGGCTGCATTTCCTGCCTGATGTGCACCCCAAAATCCCGTACCCCACAGTGCCAGGCTGGCTGCATTTCCTGCCTGATCTGCACCCCAAAATCCCACGCGCCCCACAGTGCCAGGCTGGCTGCATTTCCTGCCTGATCAGCACCCCAAAATCCTGCGCCCCACAGTGCCAGGCTGGCTGCATTTCCTGCCTGATCGGCACCCCAAAATCCCGCGCCCCACAGTGCCAGGCTGGCTGCATTTCCTGCCTGATCGGCACCCCAAAATCCCGCGCCCCACAGTGCTAGGCTGGCTGCATTTCCTGCCTGATCGGCACCCCAAAATCCTGCGCCCCACAGTGCCAGGCTGGCTGCATTTCCTGCCTGATCGGCACCCCAAAATCCTGCGCCCCACAGTGCCAGGCTGGCTGCATTTCCTGCCTGATCGGCACCCCAAAATCCCGCGCCCCACAGTGCTAGGCTGGCTGCATTTCCTGCCTGATCGGCACCCCAAAATCCTGCGCCCCACAGTGCCAGGCTGGCTGCATTTCCTGCCTGATCGGCACCCCAAAATCCTGCTCCCCACAGTGCCAGGCTGGCTGCATTTCCTGCCTGATCGGCACCCCAAAATCCCGCGCCCCACAGTGCCAGGCTGGCTGCATTTCCTGCCTGATCGGCACCCCAAAATCCTGCTCCCCACAGTGCCAGGCTGGCTGCATTTCCTGCCTGATCGGCACCCCAAAATCCCGCGCCCCACAGTGCCAGGCTGGCTGCATTTCCTGCCTGATCGGCACCCCAAAATCCCGCACCCCACAGTGCCAGGCTGGCTGCATTTCCTGCCTGATCGGCACCCCAAAATCCCGCGCCCCACAGTGCCAGGCTGGCTGCATTTCCTGCCTGATCGGCACCCCAAAATCCTGCGCCCCACAGTGCCAGCGCGAGCTCTTGGCCGCAACCCCCCCACGGCCAACCGCACCCCCTTATTTATTTCCACTGTTGCACCAGGCGATGGGAGGAGGGGGCTCCCCAAACTCTGCAGGCCTGAGCCTCCAGGTGCTGGCAGGCGCAGGCGCGCCCCTCCCCGGCTCCCTGCTCCCCACGGGGGTTTCCCGCTCGGCTCTTCTCGGGAGCAGGCCGGGCCCGGCGAGGTCCTGTCCGCACCCCCGGAGGGCTCCCAGCCCCACGGCCGACGCAGAGGGCGGCAGGCCCGCTCCTACCTTCCGGGGCCGCGCCGTCGTGCCGGGGCTTGCTCCCGCCATGTCCGTCGCGGCCTCCTGCAAGACAAGAGCGAGCCGCTGGCAGCTGCACCGAGGAGCTGCTAATGGACACCGTCAAGGGGGGCCCAGCGCGGGAGGGAGACCTGGACACCCCATGCGCTATAATGCTACTGAGTCAGCCGGGGCGGGGCCGGAAGTGAGGTCACAGTGGGCGTGGCCTCGGGCCACCCTGGGGCCCAATGTCTTCGTCATTCTCACTTCCTAACGTGCCACGGAGAAAGGTGATTGGACTTCGAGGGGGCGGGACTCAGCACTAGGAAGTGACGCAGCCGTGGGCGTGGCCCAGGGCCACATTCAGTGCATGTTGCTATGGAAGGTGACTGGACCCTCTGGGGCGGGGCTTACTGAAAGTGAGGCTGCTGTGGGCGTGGCCTTGGGGAACATTAGGACCCAGGCCTCTCTCACTTTCTGGTCGTGATGCTATGGAAAAAGATGTTTGGACTTTTAGGGGTGGGGCTTACTATGAGGAAGTCAATGGCATGGCCTCAGAGGCCGTTTTGGGACCCAATGTAGGTATCACCTTGGGTCCTCTTGGTCGGTATCACCTCCTGTCCTTGATACTATGGAAGGTGATTGGACCGCTAGGAGGCGGGGCTTAGTAATCAGGCCATTGTGAGCGTGGCCTGAGGACATTTTGGGACTCAAGGTCTTCCTCTGCTTCTCACTTCCTGCCCATCATGCTATGGAAGAAGGTGATTAGACCACTAGGGGGCGAGACAGTAGAAACAGGTCATTGTGGGAGTGGCTCCAGGCCATATTGGGACTCAATGCCTTCTCACTTTCTGTCCATCATGCTATGGAAGAAGGTGATTGGATCACTAGGAGGCGGGACAGTAGAAATCAGGTCATTGTGGGCGTGGCTCCAGTCCATATTTGGACTCAAGGCATTCTCAGTCTCCCTTCCTGTCCATCATGCTATGGAAGAAGGTGATTGGACATTTAGGAGGTGGGGCTTAGCGGTGACCACAAGCGGGTCATTGTGGGCGTGGCTCGAGACCACATGGGGACTCAATGCATTCTCTCACTCCCTGTCCATCACGCTATGGAAGAAGGTGATTGAACCACTAGGGGGCGGGGCTTAGTAGAAATCAGCTCTCTGTGGGCGTGGCCAGACGCCATATTGGGACTGAATGTGTTCCTCTCCCTCCTCCTCACTTCCTGGCCCTGAGTTGGGAGGTTTCCTTTCTCTCTCCACTCTCTCTGTGATGTCCTGTTTCACACACGGCGAAGGCAGCGCTGCCGACCACAGACGGAAGGAACTTCCCTCACCCTCAGCTAATGTAAAGCTCTTCGTGCAGACGCCATCTCAGGCCTGTCAGGAACAGGACGTGGAGCAGCAGACTCCTCTGCGATCGCGGAAGGCCCATCCCTCAGTGTCTCATCATCACCAGGACAACACCGGACTGGCGCCCACTCAGGCCACCTGTACCAGGGCGGCCTCCAGAAGGCCCGGGCAGACCCCGAGGGGGATCGGGGTGCCTGTCCTCTCCCCCGGAGCTGACCGAGACTTTGCCTAAGGCTGGACACTTCTCGGACTCACGACCTGCCGAGTCCACGGCTGCACCAGACCCAGCGAGCTCCTCGGGGTGGCCGGCAGCGGAGAGACTCAACCCACCAGCCCTTTACCTCTGGGGTCTGTGCATCGGCTCATAACAGACACAGGATCACAGCGTGCTCTGCTGAACACCGGCCTAAGTGGACAGGGCTGGCCTGTCCACCTGTCCAAGTGTTGTGTCCTTGTCAAGAGTTCCGCTGGACCCAGTTCAGTGATTTGCACACAGACTGACAGAGCTGGTTCTTTAGAGACCAGGCAGCTTCTGGGTCTCTTGTGTTGTCTACAATGGCTTTGCATATCATACAACTGCACAGCTCTGTACTGTCTGCCGCATAAGGGAGTGTTTGTTACACAGCTAGTCTGCTGTGCTGTTACACTCTAATGGAGCGCACTTCACAGAGCTATTCATTGAACTACCTATTACACTATCAGGGAGCATATATTACAGAGCTACGCAGCTGTCATACTGCCTGTTGCATGCTAGGGGACTGTATGTTACACAGCTACTCAGTGAACTATTACACTATAAGGGAGCACATGTTACACAGCTGCACAACTGTCACGCTGCCTGCTGCATACGTATTCCATTCAGCTAGCCACTTTGTGCACTGCCTGCTACACACTAGGTGAATGTATGTTACACAGCTGCACTTTACACTATATGGGAGTGACTGAGTTAGGAGATGGCCAAGACCTGCCAATGTTCAAGAAAGCTTCCATCCTGCGATAGAGAAGAGAGTCCCTAAATCCTTCAGCCTTCTCTCAGGAGCCAGCCACACATTCTGCACCCTGTAATTCGGCACCACTGACCAAGGTCCCAGAGAATCATGCGTGTTTAACCGAGTGGAGGGTCGTGTGTAGACCGAGTGCTTTCATGGAAGGTTGGGAGTGTGAACCCTGTGGTCTCATGGAGACCCACGATGGAGACCCTGAGGTCTCACAGAAAATTAGGGGCAAAAAAAGCATGAGGAGAATAAAAACAAGAGAGGGATCACGTACCGTCTCCACCTGCTGCATCTGCCAGGTCGGAATCTGAAAATCCACCTGAAGGAGAAAAAAGACAACATCACTGGCCGTGCTGGACCTGGCGGTCGTGTCCTGCACGATTAAAAACTGAGCGTCCCTGATCCGAAAACCCCAAAGACAAAATGCTCCCAGATCCACTGTTTGCATGCAACTGTGAAGAGACAACCAAACCACAGGCACAATGAAGAATCATCATATGTGATGCCCCTGCATATGCACAAATACTCCAAAGTTTAAAACAAAAGTCAAATAGGAAAAACTTTTAGTCACTCGCATCTCAGCAAAGAGACACACAACCTGTAAAACAAATTCTCTCGTCAGTGTGGTACTACCCAACATTCCCCCACGAACCCTGGGAAAAAGCAAAAAAAGAAAATGGAACTACAGAAGTATTATTTTTGCTGATTAGTGTAATTAGAAGCCCGGATCAGTAAGCCCAACCCAAAATCATGAGAAATAACGAGTCATGGGTGTTTTGTTATGCAGCAGTAGCTAGCTGATACACATCAGATTTAACATAAGCTTCATATAACGCACTATGCCTAAGGAGAGGCTACTTCATGAAAGCAAGGAGACACGGCATATAAACGCAGCCCTTTATGTAACCTGTCACATCCATGCATTACAAGGGAAAAAACACATGATGACCGTTGTGATTGGCAATGCCACCCCTCGATGAAAAATAACATGAAAAAGCTGGAGAAGAGAAAGATACTTTCTAGCTGGCGTGGTGCGAAGGTCGGTCATCCCAGGGCGCCAGGAGGCTGAGACGGGAGGGTCTCAATTCAGGCCCACAATGTCACGATTCACCAAGACACTGTGTCAATATAGAAAGTTAAACAGAAGAAATAATGCATAAAGGCTGGGCACGTGGTCAGTTAGGAGGGCCTGGGCAGGCAGACAGACGGACAACAGAAAGACCAACTTCATGACCTGACTCTTTTTGCAAAAAAACTTTGGTGTGGAAAAACGAATCTTTTTAGACTCCGCTTTAAATTCAGAAGTGAAAATCACCCACCGCACCCCATGTCGGCCGTCGTGATCTAGCAAAAGCAACAGAACAAAACCAAGACTAAACTGTAACGGGGAGGAAACTTTTTTTAAAAATGCAAATAATTTGACTTTCTGGTGGGAAAAGCTAAGACATGAAGAGAATTCAAGAGAATTCGCCTCAGGATGGTTGCTAGTGAAAATGTATACAAACCCGATGTTTATTAAAGTCATAAACACATTGAACATACACAAAAATATACAAGCGAACAAAAGCAGAGAGTAAATAATTTGGGAATATATAAATAAAGACACGAGTAGAATACATGAATTGTACCCACAGGGAAAAGCTTAGTTCTTGGCAAGACGTTCACACAGTCAGTCAATTCACAATGGTCAGTCACAAGGGGAAATAGAAGATTTTGGGCCCGGGATGTAGTTTAGCGGCACAGGTCCCGAGTCTAGGGCTGCTACCCATCTTCAAAAAACAAAATGAAAAAAAAAAAAAGAGAAAAAAGCCATGCATGCCTGTCAGCCTAGCACTCGGGAGGCTGAGGCAGGAGGATCGTTGCGAGTTCGAGTCCAGCCTGGGCTACAAAGTGAGCTCAAGGCCAGCCTGAACCGCAGAGACTGCGTCTCAGAAACACAAAAATAAATAAATTAATAAGTAGAACAACAAAAAAAAGATTTTTATTATTTTCCCCAAAACAAGAAGACAATCAACAACGTGAATCTCAAGTTTAACAGAAAATAGATAAAGGAATAAAACCTCAAAGCCTGTGGAAAAGCCAGCCAAAGCCACACTGAGGGAACAATTTCAAATCTCACTGATCAAAAGTGCTGTGACAAATATTCAAAGGCGAGAAGCACGTGGGAAAGCGTTTGGTCATAAACGACCGGTGTTAACTCAAACCCGCGGCAAGCCGAAGCCTCAAAGTGTTTTACTTGGTTTTGGTTAACTTCTGAGCTACGGGAAGATGCTGCGGTCATAGTGATGTAAGCTGGGGCAGTGTTTGATGGAGAGTTTCTTTCTGTCTTTTTTTATTTGTGTGTTTGAGGCAGACTCTCCCCGTGCAGCTCAGGCTGGCCTTGGCTCACTCTGTAGCCCAGGCGGGTCTCGAACGCACAGAGATCCTCCCGCCTCAGCCTCCCGGGTGCAGAGCGACGTCTGCAGTCACCAGAAGGAAGCAGTCCCCTGTCTACACAGCAGGATGTGGGCAGCTACAATTTGGGAGGAAAAAAAAAATCAAAAAGCCGCTATAAAGAAGTTATACGCAGTCACCTGAAGAATTAAGACTTCTTGAAGTCTATGTTAAAAAAACAAAAATTTTCTTTGCATTTCCTAGTATGTTTGCAGGGCATAAGGCGTTCACCGTGGGGAAGTGGCAGGTCCCAGCCATTCTCGAGTCCTTCTGATTCCCTTCTGCTCCCCAGATTCTCTTCCCAGCTCCCCCTAACCTCCCTTCCCGCTTCCTATCATCTGTCTTCTACTCTGCTCTTTATTTATCCTTTGGTTTTCTCCTAGAAGAGAAACCCTGCACTATTTAAGTCAGTGTGTATGATTTACTTCTCTTAACACTACGATCTCAGCGTCCACCCATTTTCCTACGTGTCACTCGAGTTTGTGCTTGTTCATAGCAGTGTAGTACTCCACCAATGTGCAAACACCTCGTTTTCTCTCTCTGTCCATCTGCTGATGGACACAGAGGCTGCTTCCAACGTTCGGCTCCTGGGAGTTGTGCTGCTGTCAACGTGGCTGTGGGTGGATCACTGCAGAATGGCGACTTTAACTCTTAGGGAGACGCTCTAAAGAAACACAGCTGAGTAGTGTGCCTTAAATTTCCTCCGCCATTTCCAATCTTGTAATAGCTCAGAAATCACATTTTCGGGAAGTTAAATAGCATCACAGGTAACTGTGTATAGTACACAATGACCATTAGAAAATCACACGGTGCAGGCTCCCGTGGCCCATTAGTAAGCAAAATACACAGTGACAACATGAACAGAAGGTTCACATTTTTGCTTGCGTCTGGAAGCGCAGACCTGTCGTTCCAGCACACTGAGGGGCTGAGGCAGGAGGATCACCAGACGAAGCCCACCCTGGGCAACTTAGCAACTTAGTGAAACCGTGTTTCAAAACTTTTGAAACATTAATAAATTCTGGGGATGGAGCTCAGCATGAAGGTGCATGCTGAGCTCAAAAAAAAAAAATCGTTTTACTTTAAAATTATGCCACTGAAACTAATATGTAAAATTATGGAACAGGAGTTTACCATCAGAAGGTCAGTCACATGTACCACAGCAAAGCAGATAAATGATCGGATCATTATGCAGTATAGATGGGCATCAACCCCACACGTACCCCTAATTTTAGGGATAATGCCTGTGTGTCTGGGTGTCAGTGGATGCTGAAAATCCCAAAACTGACCCAAGGGCTCGAGGCACAGACTCACCAGAGGATCCTGGCTGGTTGGGCTTCGGGTTTGGCTTGGGCTCGGGCTGTCTGGGGGCCACAGGGTTAGCTGTTTGCAAAGAAGGAAAAACTCCAGTGAGCAGTGGTTTGCAATTAAGAAAATAAAACCTCAAGTGTGCAGACACGGTCCCCTGAGGAAGCGCGCTGCGTCATGGTGACAGTGACACCGCCAGCTCCCTCCCAACCACAGCACTTAATGGTGGCTGCTTTCCATAGATGCTAACGCAGGACTCTGAAGCAGTCAACAAACTTTACCGGGTTCTGGGCAAAATGAGAACATAAAACCCACTGTTGAAACTGGATTGACGATTTCAAGATGGAGACAACAGCAAGTCAAAGCAATATGGCAGCCACTATGATAACAAGATGGCGGCCAGTGTGGTAACAAAATGGCAGCTAGTCTGGTAACAAAATGGCAGCCAGTGTGGTAACAAAATGGCAACCAGTGTGCTAACAAAATGGCAGCCAGTGTGATAACAAAATGGCAGCCAGTGTAATAACAAAATGGCGGCAAGTGTGGTAACAAGCTGTTAAGTGATGTGGTCAAGATGGTAGAAGATGTAGTAACAACATGGAGGCTAACAAGATGCCTGCTGGTATAATAACAAAATGGATGCTGGTGTGGTACCAAATGATGGCCATGTGGGCGCAAGATGGCAGCCAGTGGAAAATGGCAGAAGGTGTAGTAACAAGATGGTGGCCTGTATGGTAAGATGATGGCAGCCCATGTGGTAACATAGCGGCCTGTATGGTAGTAAGATGGCGGTCCATGTAGTAATAAAATGGCCGTCTGTGTGTAATAAGATGGCCGCCCATGTGGTAATAACATGGCCGTCTGTGTGGTGTAAGATGGCTGCCCGTGTAGTAATAAAATGGCCGTCTGTGTGTAATAAGATGGCCGCCCATGTGGTTAACAACATGGCCGTCTGTGTGGTAGTAAGATGGCTGCCCGTGTAGTAAGAAGATGGCGGCTCTGTGGAGTGAAGATGGGCTTCACGCTCAGGAAGTTTTCAAAGCCCGTCATGACTTCTGAAATAAAAACTGAGCACGCAGGTAGAAACAGCAACAAAGACCAAAACCAAACGAGCAGCAGAAAGACGTCCAGCGCCAGCCCAGAGTCCTCCTGTGCTCGCCATGAACGTCCCCAGCACTGAGCAGACGTGGCTCTTTCTAGTGAGCGTGACCAGAGACGGGCCACAGTGAAGGTGTGACAGCCACTCACCGTCTCCTGCGCCATCGAGAGCCTCGCTCAGGTCCAAATCGCCACCTGCACAGGGAGAAGGCGGTCAGCAGCAGCCGGGGGACGGCCGGCAGGGAGCGCTGCCCAGCGTGGCACCTCCGACGGGGACACTCATGGACCGCGGTGCCGTCACAGCAACGGACCCCAATTGTGCACACTGATGCACTGCACGACGATGGGGGCGTCTCTCCTCCCCACACCGTCCTCCATGACGCCGGCCATGGACTGCACCCTCTGCACCGTGAGCCACGCTGATTCCCTCTCAGGAGACAAACTCACCCCCCCCCCCGCGAGGGTGTCGGGGAGACTCTCAAAAGGACCCAAAATTATCGCAGCCCAGGAGGATGCACGTGTTACATCGGAGCCGCTCTCCGCCCTCCAAACCCCAACTTGTTCTATTTTTTGGTCTTTTTGAGGCGGGCTCTCTCTGTGCAGCTCAGGCTGGTCTCGAACTCAGAGATCCTCCCGCCTCAGCCTCCCGAGTGAGTCCTGGGGTGACAGGCACGAGCCGCCACACCCGGCTCACCCCAACTTTAGACAAAATGGGGCCCACCGAGGCGCCCGCTCCCTCTGGCCGTACACTGGGGTGCCGGTTTCTTACCGCTCGGGGGCTTCTTGGGGGCTTCTGTGGTTTTCTTGATGTCGTCTGCAAAGAGAGAAGCACGCTGAGCCGGGCTCAGGGTGAGGCTGCGTGTTGAGCGGCCCCCCAGACCGCGGGACCCTGGGGACACGGGTGCTCCCCGCGTGAGCCGGAGCAGGAGGGCGCCGTCCCGGGACCCCGCGCCTCCCACCCAGGAGAGAGGAGCCTTGTACCCCAGGGAACCCCGATTCCACCCTAGTCCTCTCTATGAGGTTAAAAAGGGGTGAGCACGAGGAGGAGAGGGGGTGCCCTGAAATGCGTGCCCGCTGGAACGTGGGGTACGGGAGCTCCCGTGCACACAGGTCTCGGAGGGGGGCTTCTTGGAGGATCTGGGCCCGAGACCTTCCTGCCTCGGCCTCCCGAATCCAACGCCCGCGTCCCGAGAGACAGGACACGGGGCGCGGACACCAGGAGAGGCTGGAGGACACGGAGGCCGAGGCCACAGCGATGGGGCCACCTGGCGCCCCGCGGGAGGCTGAGGCGGGAGGGTCTCCCCGAGCCGGCGCACAGCTGAGCACAATCCCGAGGAGGACGGATAAGTGTGTTTAAATGCTGGACCGATTACGGTCACGCGTCTCCACTGCAGTAACTTTATAAAAACACTGAGAACTTGGCCGTGAGGCTCAGTGACCCCGACATTCCCGATACTAAGGCAGAACCCCCGGGCGTTTGTAAAAAGTGCTACAGCGTTACTCACCAAGGGCGTCAGCTAAGTCAAAACCTAAGTCTACAAAAGAAAAAAAAAAATAAAGTCAAGTTAGAAATACGGAAAACAAACTTCAGCCACACCCAGGGTGCCCCAAATCACTCGGGGTCTCTTCCTTTTGAGGGCTGTGTAGTACTCCACGCCCCTCCCCCACCTGCTAGTGGGCCTGCAGTTTCTGTCTGCTTGTCGGCTACCAAGACCCCGAAACAAACCGGGGCCTGCAGGGGCGCCTCGCACGGGCGGTTCCCTCCTTCGTGTCCACGCCCTCTAGGGAGGCGGCCGCCCGGGGGTGCAAGCCTCTCCAGAGCAAAGCCCTGCGCTGCAGCCAGCGGGTGGGGCAGCTCCGCCACAGCGGGAAGGAGGCTCCCAAAACACACAGCCTGGCTCCGGGGGGCCCCTGGACAGGGCCAGCGCTGCGGGAGGCTGAGGCAGGCGGGTGCCCAGCTCCAGCCGGGACCGGGACAGCTCAAAGTAACACCATTGAACAAGGTGGGGGGGTCTGGAGCAGGGGTGCAGCCTTGGGACCCCAAAACAGAACAGCAAAGCTAAGGGGGTCACAGGCCCCGACCCGAGATGCCTGCACCCCGACTCTCACAGCAAGGGAAGGGGGCGAGGGGACACGGCAAACCCTAGCCACGGAGAGCACTGACACGGCCCAGGCCGCCTGGACACACGGCCTGCAGCCAGATAGACAGACAGATGGAGACGCAGCCGGGCGCAGAGCCAGGGCTGGACCCGGCCCAGGACGGCGATGACTCACGGTGAGTCATCAGGGCGCGTCCCCAGCGCACGCCCTGCGGCGGGCTCACAAAAACAGGATGCGGGGGGGGGACACGGGGGGACACGGGGGGACACCGGCCTGCAGGCTCAGCCGGCCCCCGCCCTGCGGGTCCCCCACCTGCCCAGGGGCCCGCCGGCCTCTGCTGGCCATCGGGGGACCGAGCTGTTGGGGTCTCTGTGGAAACTGTTCACAAGTGGCTAAAACACCCAGCCAGAAACTCCCCCTGACCAGGCCGCTCCCCTTCTGGGTGTTTCCCCCAAAGACTTAAAGTTGTCTGTCACATCGCAGGGACCCGGGTGCACCCCGAGTCACCCACAGTGCACCCCGAGTCACCCACGGTGCACCCCAAGGTCACCCACAGGGCGTCAGTCTCGGGGCCGGCCTGTGCGTCCACCTGTACGGGGGCACGGATACAGGGCAGGTGCTGATGGCACGGCGTGGAGTACTATACAGCGGTGAAGAAGGTAAAGTCCCGCCCGGCGTCGGGAAGCAGCTTCGGACTGCAGGGCTCCGGCACCAGGCAGGCGCACACTCGGCTCCTCGCGGACGGGAAATCCGAGTGTAAACACAGACTAAATCAAAGCCAGATGTCGGGAGAGGGCGGGGGGCCTTTGGCGATGGGCGCGGGGGGACCCAGGCTCAGAAAGCAGCGGGCGGTTTTGTGCCAGGACTCGTACGTTTTTTTTCTTAAAAAAGTGCAAACAGAGTCATAAAAATTATTTTAAAAAGAAAACAAAAGCAAGAAAAACGGCTCCCCGTCTCCAGGCCGCACAGGGCCCCGATGCCCTGATGTTGCCAGCGCAGCGCACCCCGAGAATCGCCCGCCCGGAGCTGGAACCCGGCTTCCCCTACACCCCAGCCCCCCACACACACACACACACCCCGGCCTTTCAGGACGACCGGGATGCTGTGGGGAGCGGGGGCCCCGAACCCCGAGATCCCGGGGTGAATACTGGAGTCTGCAGCTCTGCAAAACTCAAGGAACCTCAGATCCAAAGCTGTGAACCCCGCTATGCGGGAGGCTGAGGCGGGAGGGTCCCAAGTGGAAGCTGGCCCGGGGCAACTCAGCACAGAGCTGTGTTTGCAGAGTGAATAATAAAAACTCCCGGGTAGGAAAAACTAAGTAAAATCACCCAAGACACAACAGGAACACAGGCGCACAGAGCGGGGGAATTAGCCCTCCCGGCCGCAGACCTGGCTCCTAAGAAACCAGAGAGGCGGCCAGCGGGGTGCAGAGCCGTTTAGGGGACCGGCCCAGCAGGGCCCCCCGGGAGGGGTCCCATCACCAAAGAGCCGGCTGGAGGAGGGGAGCGCAGGAGACCGTCCTGCCTCAGCCTCCCACAGGGCTGCTATGTGGGCCTGAGGCGCCAGCTGGCTTGTTGCTGTTTGGCGTCTCCATGGCAACCTGGTCCTCCTGGGCCACAGGGGAGGGGGAGGGGGACCCCAGCAGGGCGGGGCAGCCGGGTGCAAATCGCCAACCTCAGCAGCCACCCGAGAGCAGAGAGAGGAAGCCGCGGCCGAGTTTGAGGCCGGGTTTGCTGCATGACTGAATGACTGACTCAGGGCGAGAACCACAGGGACACATCCCACTCCTACACATCCTACCCCACCCCACAGTCCTGGTCCCTCCTTTCTTTCGTCGAAGTGGCCTCCAGCTGCACCCCATAAACAGACGACCCCGCTGCAAGAGCCCCCTCCTCGGACTCCGGCCCGGGCTGGGGGACCGCGCTGTACCCCGCACAGCAACGCACACTGCAGTCCAGAAAATGCTTCTCAGACAGGCCTGGCGTCATCCGAGCGCCCAGGAGGGAGGCCGAGGCTCGCGGGGAGGATCTCGAGTCAAAGCCCAACCGGGGTAATTGAGTGACTGTGCGTGATTCGACCCTGTTCCCGAACTTAAAAATCAAATCAAATCAAAAAGTGGAGGCCCGACTCCCTGAAGCTGGCCACCGGTCCGTCCCTTCAGCTGCGAGAGTGGGGACCCTGCGTGGGCTCCTGGGGGGCTTTGGAAACAAAACAGAAACCAGCCCCTCACCAGGCGCCCCCCTCCCGGACCCCGCCTGGACCCGAAACCGCGACTCCTAATTTCTGTGATTTCTCAGTTACAAAAAAAAGTGCCCAGCGCAGTGCAGACGTAAACGGGGTGCCCGGACCCCCGCTCGGGTTTTCCCGCCAAGCCCCCAGCAGGAACCTGCAGGAGGCGCCAGAGCCGCGCGCTCCCGGCCCGCCTCCCGCGCAGGCCTCCGGCCGGCCGCCTCCAAAATCCAGGCCCAGGCCTCCGCGGCCCGGCGCCCAGGAAACGGGGGTGCCGCCCGCCTCGCCGGGTCCCCGAGCCCGGACTACCGGGGGGGGGGGGTCCCCGCAAGGTGCGCCCCTCCCCAGGGCCCCCTTGGGTTCCCCCAGGATCTGGGGGCCGGGTTGCACCCCTGGCCCTGCGCCCCTCCTCAGGGTCCCCCCGAGCCACGCGCCGACCCTGCTGTCCGGGCCTCGGAGCTCCCAGAGCGGGGGGCGCCCCCAGAACCCCTCACCCGACCCGCGCCCCTGCGCCCCACCGCGCGCTCCTCCTCCGGCACCACGTGTCCAGGCGGCGCCCCCTCCCCGAAGTGTAGCGTCCCCGCCTGCGCCCCTCCCCAAAGTTTGGGATACCGGCCACGCGCCCCGCCCTAAAGTTTGGGGTCACCGCCGTGCGCCCCTCCCCAGTGTAGGGTCCCAGCACTGCGGCCCTCCCCAAAGTTTAGGGTCCCCGCAGTGCGCCCCTCCCCAAAGTTTACGGTGCCCGCCGTGCGCCCCTCCCTAAAGTTTAGGGTCCCCGCCGTACGCCCCTTTCCAAAGTTTAGGGTTCGCGTCGTGCGCCCCTCCCGAAAGTTTGGGGTCACCGCCGTGCGCCCCTCCCCAAAGTTTACGGCGCCCGCCGTGCGCCCCTCCCCAAAGTCCGGGGTCCCCGCCGTGCGCCCCTCTCCAAACTTCGCGGCCCCGCGTGGGCCCCCCCCGATCGGGGCGCCCTTCTCTCGCCCCCCGAGAGTGCGCCCCGCTCCCGCCCCGCACCCCCCGGCCGCCCCGCCGCTCACCGTCCCGCGCGCGCACCAGCGTCCCCGCGAGCAGCAGCAGCAGCAGGACGAACGCGCGCGCCATGCTGACGGCGCCGGCCGGGAGCGCACTGAGCGCCCCGAGCGGGAGGGCGGAGTCGGGGGGCGGGGGGAGCCGGGGACCCCCCATACACACCCTGGGCACGCCCCGGGGCGGGGCGGCCGAGCAGAGCACAGCAGTGGGGGCGCCGCCCTGGGCTCGGCCTCCTGCTGCGCCCCGTGCAGGGCCCGCGTGCCTTGGGGACCCCCGACCTGCACCCCGAGACCCGCCCGCCCGGCCTCCCACGCCCAGGCTGGCTCCTGCACCGCGTGCCCCGACTTAGGGGTGCAACCCGGACCCCAGATTCCGGGGGGACCCAAGGGAGTTCCCGGGGAGGGGCTCCCCCAAACCTCCCGGCCCCCCGGGGCGTGGCTGTGTCCCCGCGTCCCGAGTTTCCCTGAGTCACCGAGTCTGCGCGCCAACGCCCCGCCCCCACCCCCAGAGGCGCTCCCCGCCCCGCCCCGCCCCTCCCCCCGCCCCTCCCCCCACCGCAGCTGCTCCGGGCGTCACCGCTGCACCCCCCCCTCCCCCACAACGCCTGCACCGGGCCCGGCGAGCCCTAAATCAGTCGCCTCCAAAGCGCCCACAAACTACAAACGCAAAGTCCGCTGCAAAGTGTCTGCAGGAGGACTTAGCTTTTCTCCTCCAGCACCTAAGCCCCCTGCTGGTGTGGAGGTCGCGCAATCCTTTGTCCTGCAAACCGAGTGCTCACCCGGTTTGAACCCTTCCCTCCCTGGATTCCTGCCCTACGCCCCCCCCAACTCGTGCTTTTCTGGGAGCACCGAAGAGTGTGGTCCTGGGGTCACGACCCGCAGGACTTCTAGGTCCTGGCGGGGCCGGCAAGCGGCCGCTGGAGCGGTGGCAGCCCGTTTGGCACCACGAGGTAAGCAGAGTCCTACAGGACCGGATGTAAATGGCGGACAGCGGGAAATTGTCCCCCCGCCTCAGATCCCGGAATTCCTGCCCTGCCCCCGCCGGGGTTCACCCACTCAGCCTGCCAGGGACACCCTGTGCTCAGCCAGCAGGGGTCTGCGCGCCTCAGCTTTTCCGTCTCCCCATCGCCCTGCAGGACTCTGGGGCCGGGCTGTGGGCACTTCTGATCCTTGAGTGCAGGAGTGACCAGCAAAAAAAAGACAGGTGACCAGCAACAGTCAGTCACTTCTAGACCTCTCAGCTTCTTCATGCTTAGTGTGCTTGGGATAGTGCTGCGATGGCCGGAGTCCCAGCAGCTGTTCTGGAGCAGGGGTTACCTAAGGACCCGAACCGTCCATGACAGCAGCTTGAGGACCGCAGGAGAGCCGGCTGGCCGCGGGCACCGCAGGCTGGTCCTCGCCTGGCTTCTCGTACGCCCTGGAGAGGAGAGCTCCTATTCCACCGCTTTGTAAATGCAAGTTTGTCTGAGTCTCATCTAGATGGCTGGTCGGCATTTCCAGAGGTTAAAACACAGAATGAAGCTTGCTGTGGGGTGCTCATGGATACCTCAACACTCCAGAGATGATTACTTAATCCAGCTGGGTGGCTGGCTGTGTGTCTCTGTCTCTGTCTATCTGTCTGTCTCCCTCTGGCTTCCCTGGAGGGCCAGTTTGGGTGAAGGACACCCGACCTCTGGGCTGCAGGGTGTTAGTTTTGGGGTGAACTATGAAGATCACCCCCACGGTGGCGCTTTTTGCAGAAACCCGTCCTGTCCGGCACCCTGAGACCCGGGTGGCTCCGGGGAGACCCTCCTGCCTCTGCCTCCTCCCCGCTGACACCCCTAAAAGTCGTCCCCGCTCGGGGTGCCGGGAAGGAGGCGGGTTCTGCCCAGAAAACACTCTGCCGCGTCCCGTGACCAGCTCTGGCCCCACTTGAAGGATCACGAGACAGACAGACGTGGACGCTTCCCTGCGGGGAACTTCATCCCGAACCGCTGCGGGGCGGGCTCACGCGGCCTGGAATCTGCCGACCTCTGAAAAGTTGGAAAAGCATTTTTCGTCCTGATTTAGAGCACATTGCTACGTTTTGGAAAATGCCAAATTAAAAACATCAGGTCTCAAAGGTCTGTCCAGGGCGGGTGTCTTTCCTCTGGCAGCCTCGGGCTGGAGCTCACACATGCAGGCGGGACCGAGCATGAGCGGGGACCCGGCTTCCAAAGCACCCCGCAAAAACATGCAGGGCGGGCTTGTCCTCACAGGACCTGACGGATCTCTACGCCGGTCAGAAAGGCCTGGAGCTCTCCGGCCCGTCAGAGTCACTCGGAGTGTGAATCACATTTTGTCACGACAGTGTTGGGGGCTTCTTCTGTAGATCGGAATTACTGGGTTCTAGTTTATTTTTCTGCCCACATAATGAGAGGGGAAGGGGAGGAGGCACTCCGGGGAGAGGGGGACAGAAGAGGGACTTCCCCTGGGACGGGCTGCTTCCTGTTTAAACACCGCTGGACACAGCCGGGCGTGCAGCTGAGCGCCTGCGATCCAGCCCTCGGGAGGCTGAGGCCGGAGGACCTCTGTGAGCCCGCCAAGAGTCCAAAGTGAGCTCAAGGCAGCCTGGACTGCATTCAGGACTCTGCCTCTAAAACACAATCGATCAGTTAGTCAATCAACAATCAGGAAATGCCCCTGCTGCCAGAAGGTGCTGACCACGAGGCTTGCAGAGCGCAGGGAACCAGGTGGGCAGAGGATTTCACAGATGGGGCGCCCCCCTCACCCCGAGGGACGGCAGGGCAGGGCCGCCTCTCAGCCCTGGACCTCGGCCCCGCCTCTGAGCAACACCAGTGCCCCGGGAGCGGGAACCGAGCCTGCGTGGCCTTGCGCTAACCTGGGGGAGCGTGAGCACGTGTGTGTGTGTGTGTGTGTGTGTGTGTGTGTGTGTGTGTGTGCAGCATGAGCCACGCAGAGGGAGCCTCGAATGCTTCCCTGTTAGGCAGGGCAGGGTGTGCACTGTGCAGATGGACAGACAGACAGGAGGGACCCAAGAGGTGGGCACGAGACGGACATGCAGGCTCTGTACACGGGCACACGCGTGCCAGCCCAGGAGGGGCACAGGGAGGGTCGGGGGGCGTGCGGGGCCGCGACCACAGGAATGGAGACACGTCCGTAAGTAGGGGGATGGACAGACAGACAGGTACAGAGGATGGATGGACAGACAGGAAGAGCAGACAGACAGACAGGACGGCTGGATGGATGGATGGATAAGATGGATACATAGATGGACGGACAGATGGACAGATACATAGATGGATAGATAGACACATAGATGGGGTGGATAGACAGATGGATGCATAGACAGATACATGGATAGACAAACATGGATGGACAGACAGATGGATGGATGGATGTATAGACAGACAGATAGATGGATGGATTGACAGATCGATGAATGGACAGATAGATGGATGGACTGATAGATAAGATAGACAGACAGACAGGTAGATGGATACCAGGTAAGACGGATGGACGGACAGATAGATAGAAGGCAGAGATACTCAGGACAGACACGGAGGGTAGATCTAGAGATAGGGTGAACGGAAAGACAGACAGACACAGGATGCATAGATGGACAGACAGGCAGATGGATAGTAGACAGATGGAGATGTAGAACGGATGGATGGACAGACAGATGGACACATAAGATACGACAGATGCACAGATAGCACAGAGTGATAGGCAGGTTGGACAGACAGACAGGGTAGATGGACAGTAGGACACACACCTACCCACACAGGCAGGATGCAGCAATGACAGATACGATTGATGACAGACAGACAGATGGGCGGTGCGGCTCCGTGGACAGACACACAGACACGCATTCCGCAGTGCGCGTGCGGCCGGCAGGCAGACGAGGTGACCGGAACGCCGGCTGGACACGCCGGCTGGACACAGTGGACACACCGGGGCGCCCTGGGCATGGGCAGGGCGGTGGCAGCTGGGCAGACGCCCGGACAGACGGACACACAGCACTGCCCGGCGCTGACGGCCTCAGCCTGGAGCCGGGCCTGGCGGGCCTCAGCGTCCTGCCTGCGTCCATATTGGGGGACAGACGTGCCCGGGGTCACCTATCCCCCAGAGCGCACAGACGTGTCCCCAGGAGTGCGGGACAGGCCGCGTCTGGAACCCAACAGCGCGGTGTAGACAGACACACAGATAAATCTAAAGACGTGCATGAACGGGGACTGGACAGACAGACACACGTGACACACAGATACATTGACAGATCGACAATAAATAGACAAATACTCTGCAATCTTCTGTGTTTATGGTTCTTTCTGCCCAATTTCCGTCTGCCGTCTCTGGGCTGCCGTGAACCCCACTTAATTTGTCTGCAACATTCTCGCAAGACAAACAAAACTCTTATTCATGGTGAGTGACGGAAACCCTCAATTTCTCTTTTGTAAGGCTGACCCAGAAGTCAGAGGTTTATAGATTGACTGCCGGAGGTTAACGATGTGTCCTGAGAAGCCGTCTGCGGGCCAAGATTCATGGCAGGGAAAAATAATCCAGACACCAGGAAGCTCAAAGTTTACAGTTACAAAGGAGCAGGAAAACTCCTCCTCGTTCACTTGAGCAGCTGGGAATACACGCAGCAGGCTGTGCGATCAACAAACGGGTTCTGGGTGGCCCAGGCCTGGAGGCCGAGGTCCCTGTGCTGGTCTCTCCCTGTCCCCGTCCATCAGGGCCGCCATATGCAATGCACAGCCCGGGTGGGTGCTGACACCCTGCAGCCCTCGGGGCCCGTCCTGCAGGCTGAGGTCCCTGTGCTGGTCTCTCCCTGTCTCAGTCCATCAGGGCCGCCATATGCAATGCACAGCCGGGTGGACGCTGACACCCAGCAGCCCTCGGGGCCCGTCCTGCAGGCTGAGGTCCCTGCGCTGGTCTCTCCCTGTCTCCGTCCATCAGGGCCGCCCTGTGCCATCCCACAGCCGGGTGGATGCTGACACCCGGCAGCCCTCGGGGCCCGTCCTGCAGGCTGAGGTTCCTGCGCTGGTCTCTCCCTGTCTCCGTCCATCAGGGCCGCCCTGTGCCATCCCACAGCCGGGTGGGTGCTGACACCCAGCAGCCCTCGGGGCCCGTCCTGCAGGCTGAGGTCCCTGCGCTGGTCTCTCCCTGTCTCCGTCCATCAGGGCCGCCCTGTGCCATCCCACAGCCGGGTGGATGCTGACACCCGGCAGCCCTCGGGGCCCGTCCTGCAGGCTGAGGTTCCTGCGCTGGTCTCTCCCTGTCTCCGTCCATCAGGGCCGCCCTGTGCCATCCCACAGCCGGGTGGGTGCTGACACCCAGCAGCCCTCGGGGCCCGTCCTGCAGGCTGAGGTCCCTGCGCTGGTCTCTCCCTGTCTCCGTCCATCAGGGCCGCCCTGTGCCATCCCACAGCCGGGTGGACGCTGACACCCAGCAGCCCTCGGGGCCCGTCCTGCAGGCCGAGGTCCCCTGTGCTGGTCTCTCCCTGTCTCCGTCCATCAGGGCTGCCCTGTGCCATCCCACAGCCGGGTGGGTGCTGACACCCAGCAGCCCTCGGGGCCCGTCCTGCAGGCTGAGGTCCCTGCGCTGGTCTCTCCCTGTCTCGGTCCATCAGGGCCGCCCTGTGCCATCCCACAGCCGGGTGGATGCTGACACCCGGCAGCCCTCGGGGCCCGTCCTGCAGGCTGAGGTCCCTGTGCTGGTCTCTCCCTGTCTCGGTCCATCAGGGCCGCCCTGTGCCATCCCACAGCCGGGTGGATGCTGACACCCGGCAGCCCTCGGGGCCCGTCCTGCAGGCTGAGGTCCCTGTGCTGGTCTCTCCCTGTCTCAGTCCATCAGGGCCGCCCTGTGCCATCCCACAGCCGGGTGGATGCTGACACCCAGCAGCCCTCGGGGCCCGTCCTGCAGGCTGAGGTCCCTGTGCTGGTCTCTCCCTGTCTCCTTCCATCAGGGCCGCCCTGTGCCATCCCACAGCCGGGTGGATGCTGACACCCAGCAGCCCTCGGGGCCCGTCCTGCAGGCTGAGGTCCCTGTGCTGGTCTCTCCCTGTCTCCTTCCATCAGGGCCGCCCTGTGCCATCCCACAGCCGGGTGGGTGCTGACACCCAGCAGCCCTCGGGGCCCGTCCTGCAGGCTGAGGTCCCTGTGCTGGTCTCTCCCTGTCTCCGTCCATCAGGGCCGCCCTGTGCCATCCCACAGCCGGGTGGGTGCTGACACCCAGCAGCCCTCGGGGCCCGTCCTGCAGGCTGAGGTCCCTGTGCTGGTCTCTCCCTGTCTCCGTCCATCAGGGCCGCCCTGTGCCATCCCACAGCCGGGTGGGTGCTGACACCCAGCAGCCCTCGGGGCCCTTCCTGCAGGCTGAGGTCCCTGTGCTGGTCTCTCCCTGTCTCCGTCCATCAGGGCCGCCATATGCAATGCACAGCCCGGGTGGGCGCTGACACCCAGCAGCCCTCGGGGCCCGTCCTGCAGGCTGAGGTCCCTGTGCTGGTCTCTCCCTGTCTCCGTCCATCAGGGCCGCCATATGCAATGCACAGCCTGGGTGGGTGCTGACACCCAGCAGCCCTCGGGGCCCTTCCTGCAGGCTGAGGTCCCTGTGCTGGTCTCTCCCTGTCTCCGTCCATCAGGGCCGCCATATGCAATGCACAGCCCGGGTGGGCGCTGACACCCAGCAGCCCTCGGGGCCCGTCCTGCAGGCTGAGGTCCCTGTGCTGGTCTCTCCCTGTCTCCGTCCATCAGGGCCGCCATATGCAATGCACAGCCTGGGTGGGCGCTGACACCCAGCAGCCCTCGGGGCCCGTCCTGCAGGCTGAGGTCCCTGTGCTGGTCTCTCCCTGTCTCCGTCCATCAGGGCCGTCCTGTGCCATCCCACAGTGTGGGTGGGTGCTGACACCCAGCAGCCCTCGGGGCCCGTCCTGCAGGCTGAGGTCCCTGCGCTGGTCTCTCCCTGTCTCAGTCCATCAGGGCCGCCCTGTGCCATCCCACAGCCGGGTGGATGCTGACACCCAGCAGCCCTCGGGGCCCTTCCTGCAGGCTGAGGTCCCTGCGCTGGTCTCTCCCTGTCTCAGTCCATCAGGGCCGCCCTGTGCCATCCCACAGCCGGGTGGATGCTGACACCCAGCAGCCCTCGGGGCCCGTCCTGCAGGCCGAGGTCCCTGTGCTGGTCTCTCCCTGTCTCTGTCCATCAGGGCCGCCATATGCAATGCACAGCCCGGGTGGATGCTGACACCCAGCAGCCCTCGGGGCCCGTCCTGCAGGCTGAGGTCCCTGCGCTGGTCTCTCCCTGTCTCAGTCCATCAGGGCCGCCCTGTGCCATCCCACAGCCGGGTGGATGCTGACACCCAGCAGCCCTCGGGGCCCGTCCTGCAGGCCGAGGTCCCTGTGCTGGTCTCTCCCTGTCTCAGTCCATCAGGGCCGCCATATGCAATGCACAGCCGGGTGGGTGCTGACACCCTGCAGCCCTCGGGGCCCGTCCTGCAGGCTGAGGTCCCTGTGCTGGTCTCTCCCTGTCTCAGTCCATCAGGGCCGCCCTGTGCCATCCCACAGCCGGGTGGGTGCTGACACCCGGCAGTCCTCGGGGCCCGTCCTGCAGGCTGAGGTCCCTGCGCTGGTCTCTCCCTGTCTCAGTCCATCAGGGCCGCCATATGCAATGCACAGCCCGGGTGGGTGCTGACACCCAGCAGCCCTCGGGGCCCGTCCTGCAGGCTGAGGTCCCTGCGCTGGTCTCTCCCTGTCTCCGTCCATCAGGGCCGTCCTGTGCCATCCCACAGTGTGGGTGGGTGCTGACACCCAGCAGCCCTCGGGGCCCGTCCTGCAGGCTGAGGTCCCTGTGCTGGTCTCTCCCTGTCTCCGTCCATCAGGGCCGCCCTGTGCCATCCCACAGCCGGGTGGGCGCTGACACCCAGCAGCCCTCGGGGCCCGTCCTGCAGGCTGAGGTCCCTGCGCTGGTCTCTCCCTGTCTCGGTCCATCAGGGCCGCCCTGTGCCATCCCACAGCCGGGTGGGTGCTGACACCCTGCAGCCCTCGGGGCCCGTCCTGCAGGCTGAGGTCCCTGCGCTGGTCTCTCCCTGTCTCAGTCCATCAGGGCCGCCATATGCAATGCACAGCCGGGTGGGTGCTGACACCCAGCAGCCCTCGGGGCCCGTCCTGCAGGCTGAGGTCCCTGTGCTGGTCTCTCCCTGTCCCCGTCCATCAGGGCCGCCCTGTGCCATCCCACAGCCGGGTGGATGCTGACACCCAGCAGCCCTCGGGGCCCGTCCTGCAGGCCGAGGTCCAGGTCCAGGGTGCAGAGCCCGCGTCTGGTGCGGCTGCATCCAGGTGACCGCTGGCCCCCAACCCCTGCTTACTGCGGTGCTGGGTGTGCACACCACACGAGGCTCCCGAGCTCACCGTTGTTTATTTTTCTGTGTGTATTTTTATCTCTGGCCCACGCTCAGGGCGCAGTCCAGAGCCTCCTCGGATCCGTTTCCCAACCCGCATCGGCACGCTGCACCCCAGACCTGATCCTCTTAAATCACAGACCCCGGGGTGACGGGAAGCCGGGGTACAGCCAGGTCTCCCTGAAACCCAGGGTCCCCCGGGAAGAGAGCAGTGAGCTCTGCTCCCCTCAGTCACAGTCACTGAAAGCGACTGCCCGGCCTGGACCCGGCACCCCCACGTCCTGCCCTCTCTCCTCCGAGGGGCGCCTCTGAGCCTCGGCCTGCCGGGTGGGCTGTGGGGAGCCACATCCCATCCCGGTGCCACCTGTGCCAACCACACTGGCGCATCTGCCCCACAGGGAAGCCTTGCCCGTCCCCCTGGCACCGCTGCAGGGCGGAGGTTTGCAGGGGCCGGAAACAGATGCTGACTGCAGGCTCACAGCACCCGCCACCTCTGCGGAGAGCGAGCTCTGCGGCCTGCTCCGGCCACACCTAACAGCGCTGCTGGGCTGGGCACCGGGTCCATCGCGGTGTCCTGAGCCCACCTCAGGGCCGTGCCATGGCCCTGGCGTGAGGGCACCGCCGGCTTCTTGGCCACCAGCCCCGATTCTGTGGTCGGAGCACCGGACATCCGCCTCCACCCGCAAGATAAATCGGCTTTGTAAACTCATCCGTCAGGAAGCTGAGTCAGGACGATCTCCAGGGGGAGCCCAGCCTGGGCCATTTAGGGAGACCCTGTCTCAAAATTATAAAATAAAATAAAATTCAGTGCTAACTTTGTGGCTCTGTAAGGCCCTGAGGTGAACACCCAGGACCACAGAGCAGAGGAATGACTCAGTTTCCCAAGTGCCCACCGGGCGTGTCCGCAGAGCAGGCTGCAGACGTGGCTGGGGGAGAGCTTGTGCCTAACGTGCCCAGGCCGGGGCTGCACTGTGAGCAATGATTTCTAATAATAATAATAATCACCACCACATCGTCATGATTCCCACAACGGACACCCGCCTGCTCTCGTGGACTTCTGCAAACCCCAGCAATGCACCCACTCGGAATAACTCCCAAGCTACAAGCCTGGCTTTAAAATCACAAAATGAGCCCTGGGTTTGCAGAAGCAGCCCGAGCTCTTCCTGTGTTTTTAGCTGGTTGCTCTGCAGCGCATTCCACCGCCGGCTGCCTCCTCCTCCCTCCCCCGAGGGCCTGCAGGAATGCGAAACACTCACAGCTAACAAACCAGGCGGGGGTTTGTTGACCGTTTGCAGAGGCTCCCAGGCTTCCTGTGCATTCCGCAGGCGCCCATTGGGGAGGCCTGAGCCCGCGGCCCTCAGGCTCCAGCCGTGGGAGGCCCTTTTACAGCAGTCTAACCGGGAGCTGAGCAGTTGCCAGCAGGCAGCAAAATTGCATTTGAAACACTTTGCTGTGGCCGAGGGTGTTTGCACAAAGGAGCACAGCGGGAGGAGGCGGAGCGCGTGGGCGAGGCGGTGGATACATTGTTGCACTGAGTGGGGCGCGGTGGATACATTGTTGCGGTGGATACATTGTTGCACGGAGTGGGGGCGCGGTGGATACATTGTTGCGCCGAGTGGGGCCGCGGTGGATACATTGTTTGCACCGAGTGGGGCGCGGTGGATACATTGTTGCACCGCGGGAAGCCTGGAGACAAGAAGTAACCGGGCAGCTGCTCTGCAGGGAGGTGAGGGGCTGCAAGCTCTGCTCCGGGTCGCTGGCCACTGTGTCAGCTGGAGGTCAGGGGTTAAACCTGGAGGCTCCAGCGGTCAGGAAGTCACTCTGCAAACCTGAGTGTGAGCCTGAGCAGGGAGGTGGGGAGCTCTGCACCACGGGGAGCAGCCTGCTGACACCCAGGCAGGAGGGGAGGCTCAGAAAAGGCTCCCACACCCTGCTTTTGCTCTGGCTGCTTCTGCTGACCACCCCTTTCAGGTGTCTCCAGTGCCAGCCACCCTGCCCGGGGCCAGCTAGTTATGGACGGAAACCTCCAGGGTGCCCTAAATAAACCTCTGCTCCCTTCACTTTGGGTGTCAGGTATTTGGTCCCAGCAGCAAAAGACACTGAGGGCCAGTAAAAGAGCATTTTGTCTATCTCCAGCGAGCCCAGAGCTGCTGGGGAAACGGCTTCATGTCGGTCAAATACACTTGGATGCATTTATGGGGCTGGGGTGGGGCTCGGAGTCAGAGCACAGGGGAGCAGGGTGAGAGCCTGGGGTGTGTTCACTGCATCTGTCTGTCTGGCTGGCTGGCATTTTATTTATGTGCTTATCCGCTCCTCTGGCTAGGAGTTAATCCTGTGTCCCATGGAAGCCGTGTATCTTTTCCTGACCCAGATGTTAGCAACTCATAGAAGGAGACTGTATATCTTTGGTTCATTCTTTTTGTCACTGGTTGCCCAAACTTTTATAATTTTCACAAAAGAGTGAACTTCAACACTGTTTCATGTAAAGCTGCGTGTGGTGAATTAGTGAGTGCAGTACTGCTCGTGACAGACAGTACGTGGAATTAGCCTAAGTCGGAGTGGATGGGGAAACTGTGGTACGCATATATACTCTGCGGAGTACTATTCAGTCAAGAAAAAGAAAAGTGTTTCCATTGGCTGTGCATGCCCCGGAGGTCGTTATGTCAAGTAAAATGACCCGGCCACACGAGATAAATCCTGCGTGGTCCCACTCATTGGTGGAATGTCAAATATTTTTTTAGTTCAGTATGTAAACTAGAGAGGAAAATGGTGGATACAGATAGAGGGTGCAGACGTCGAGGGTGGGGGGCTCTTCTGGGGTCTCTTGCAGACCAGGAATGTGAGAGGCTCCAGGGAAAAGGCCAGGCGTCCACCCTCACGGGGTCCAGTTGCCCGGTCAGCGTCTTCTGGGCGCCCAGGAATCCCAGGGCGGGGACAAAGGGAGCCATCGGGCAGAGGACGGTGGAAATCTGTGTGGGGATTCTCCGTAAACATAACACCAGAAATCCCACTGGACCCAGCTGTTGCCCTCATAGGTGTGTTTGTGGAAAGACTTGAAGACGTCGTGTTGCACTGACCCAGGCAGCCCGTGCTTAATAGCACTCAGGTAAATACAGCGTGGCAGTGCCGTGGAGTACTACTCTGCTGGTAAAAAGGACAGGCTTGGGTCTCATATAGGAAAATGCGCCACCTTGAGGCCGTCACGGTAAGTGCAATAAATCAGATGTACGAGTTTATCACAGTTTGCCTTGTACAGGCAGGAGAAGCCCAGAATATAAATAAAGACCCAAATAAACAGATAATAGGAATTAGGGAGATAGAGCCTTAAAAATTAGGAAGAGAACCAGGAGACGGAGGGAGGGAGGGCGAGGGGGACACCAAAGCAGTTCAGGGGGGCCACGCACGGCACCAACAGTCCACAAGATGCCTAATCCTGATGCCTTTCAAACGTGCACTAATAAACGGTTTTTAGGTTTCCGGGCTCTGAGGGGAAATTTGTGCGCGCCCATGCGGTACAAAGCACTCCCAGGCGAACCCGGGCAGCAAATCCAACCTCACCACGTTGCCGCCAAGGCAGGAGGGGGCACCGCAGGTCTGTGGGCTCCGGAATCGGGGTTCCCTTCTGTGTGGCCCCGAAATCATAGCTGCACCCAGTCAACCCACGGCCTGAGCCGTCCGCGTGGCTGGGGATTGGGACACTTCTGGCACACTCGCGGTGTGCATATCTGTGTACATGTGTGTACTCGCATGCACGCCTGCATCTGTGTGCACACGTGGGGGTGGCGCGTCTCACCACGAGTGTGGTCTCAAGGGGCCGCCATTGACCTGGGAGACCCCCAGCGTGTCCTTCTTTACGGCTGAGTAGTACTCCATCATTAAAACACCACCTCTCTGGTGTCCCTTCCTCAGCTGATGGGCTCCTGGGCTGCTCCCAGGATCTGCCTGCTACGGATTCTGGGTTTCCGTTTGTACAGGAGCGGGAGGCCCTGCTGATGGCTTGGATGCTCGGAGTTTCCCAAAGGAAGTTCCCAGCCCGTGAGTCAGAAATGGGGTTTGGAGGGGAACGAGACCTCGGGGTCTCTACTCCCCGGCTGTTGTCTGTCTGTTGATCCATCGCCTCCCATTTTGGGTCACTGAGTGGTTCATCTACAGCCCATGAGCCTGGCAGGCGGTGCCTGTCACGTGCTGACCTCTCCGTCTCCCCCGTTATCTACACATCTGACATCTGGGTGTCATCACCGGTCAGCGGCCAAGGTCTGTTAGTCACTCACATATCCATCACCCGCCCAGCGACCTGCCAGCAACCCATCACCTGTGTATTGTGTATCATTGTGTCTGTCTATCCATGTATCCATCCGTCCATCTATCCGTCTATCCATCCGTCTGTCCATCCACCCATCCATCCATCATCTATCTATGTATCTATCATCCTACCATTAATGCTAGTTAATCCAGCTTATCAATGATCCCATGAAACTGTCCTCAATCATCAGAAACTACCTTAATGTACAAACTCTGCAATGCTGTGTCTGTAAATATAAATTAAAAATCATTAAAAAGAAGTTAGTACGCAGCTCAGTGCAGAGACCCGGGTCCAGCCCTCAACAGCGCGCTGGTGTCGTGTGTGTGCGTGTGTGTGTGTGTGTGTGTGTGTGTGTGCAAACACCTATGTACAAGCGTCACACGGAGAAGAAACAAAGCTCTCTTCATTCCTAGTTAACACCACGAACGGTGACATCTCTGCTCATTTTTAAACCATTATTTAAGGCCAACTACGGAAAGGCTGTAAACACAGCCGGGAACAGGCATTATGGGAATATGTGTTTATCTAGATTTTCCTTGATGTAGAATAAAAAGGCACAAAACAAGCTCCCGTCTGTGTGCACATCCACGCTTACACGTTTACGCCGCTTTCTTTCCTTTCCTGGCGTGTGGCACGCGATGAACCAGGCCCTCGTGTGCACTCGGCCGGGCGCCGGCCGCTGAGCTGCATCCCGGCCTGATCCGAAATCCCGCCAGAGCGAGGCTGTTCAGTGATCTGGAAATGCACACGCAACCCACAATGACTCCATTGCACACACTGCTGCCGTGGGAGGCGGACAGACAAGCAGCTGTGGTGATGCGTCACTACAATCTCAGCGGTCTGGGAGGCTGAGACCGGACGATCACAATTTAGCTACATGTCCCCAAGTCACTGAAGGCAGGTGTTCAAACAAGCATGTGCAAATGAGTGCTCACAGGCATGCTATTCGCCATCACCTGACGCTGGAAGCCACTCCATACCCATCAAAGGGTGCACAGACAATATTTTTTCCACTCAATGGAATATCAGTCAGTCCTGAAAAAGGATGGCATTTGATCCACGGTTCCCACAGCAACCAACTACAGAGAAGTTACGCTGAGTGAAAGAAATCAGACACAAAGACCACATTTTGGATGGCGTCATGTATTTGAAATGTCCAGGAGGCTGGGTGTGGAGACGCCCAGGAGACCTGCCACGATCTCATTAGCATGAGGTTTTGCCATCTCACGGTGACCCGGAAGTACAATCACCATGACCTGGAAGTACAATTACCATGACCCGGAAGTACAATCACCATGATTCAGGAAGTGCAATTGTCACAAGAATCAAGCAGTGCTCAACCTTCAGGTGACCCAGGAACTATAACCACAGTCGGTAGTAACCGCGATGATTGCACCGTCAGATGACCCAGGAAGTACAACCGCCATCTGTACTACCATAAGGAGCTGCACCTTACAGTGACCCAGGAAGTACAAGCACATTCTGTAGTAACCTTGAGGACTAACCTTCCGATGACCCAGGAAGTACAACCGCCCTCTCCAGGAACCAGGAAGTCCCAGCACCTTCCTGTATCCCAAGAGATACAGTTAGCATCGCCATGGACCAGAAAGTTCTGCACACTGCCATCTGACGATTCCAGGCTCTCCCACCCCAAAACAGGAGCGTGGGAGTCCACACAGGCCAAGCCTTGTGGCACATGAGTGACCTGAGCTGGGCACATGAGGGCCTTGCTGTCCTGCAGTCACACTGGCCCCAGGACTGTGGTCACGGCCCCCAGAGGTCTCAGGGCCCAGCTGCACCGGCCAGGCCAGCGCGGGGACCCCAGCACGTCCGGTTCTCCTGTTTCTGTGCCCCACGCTTGGAAACCCGCTGGGTGCTCGTCCCCATGGCTGGCACAGCTCTGCTCTCCGAGCTCAGGACACGCTGAGCGCCCCCCGACCCGGCGCTGCAGGGCCACCCTGGGGTTTCCCTCTCTACGTGCTCAACACTTCTGTCCCCGGAGATTTTTATTTTTTTGTCTCTTTGAGTCGGGGTCTCACCGTGCAGTGCAGGCCGGCCTTGAGCTCGCTGTGCGGCCCAGGCTGGTGTCAAGCTCACAGAGACCCTCCTGCCTCAGCCTCCCCAGTGAGTGCTGGGATGACAGG